TTGTTCATTCAAGTGACAAAAGTTATCCTACTGTGAGTATAGAGTGCATGGGCATGCGAGTAAAACTGAAGTATTACTTTATGTGGATAAATGTCAGTAAAAGCATTAAAAGGTCATAAAACGTGATAATCTCACCATAAGAGTATTTTCTAGTCCTCAAAAGAAAAATTCTATCTAATGCAAAAATCACGTCCCCCAAAAAATCGAACCCCACCCTGTCGCCCATAAGGCGTCACGCTTACCACTACACCAAGCCGCCGTTTAGAGAAGACGAACAACCATGTAATTTGAGTTTTCTCATGCTAAGCTCCCTGAAACCACCCTCATAACTCCGTTCAGAGAAACGCTCGGCAAATTTGGAGTGCAGATCTGAACTCAGCATCCAAAAACACGTCTAGAAGTGTAGGTCTCATTTCAAATGGCCACTTCGACTTGGGATCCTTCCCTGGTAAGTCCTCAATTCAGGATCCGATAGAAATAGAAATTTCCACTGACTAAGCCCTGCTGACGAGACAGGAGAGGGCGTCATCACAATCGAATTTTCTAATTATGTAAATGAATAGCTGCTTCTACTGCTACTGCCACTACTCTACATAATGCAACTGGTATCGCAGCGCTAGAAGTGTACCTATGAGGATCTCTGTGCGTTAGGTACGAACTCCTCAACTTCTTTTAATGGGAAGTGTCTACTCTCTGCAGAGTGCCACTCACACATGCTTACCTATAAGTCATATATCTATGCTGCCCTCCTCCTAGAATGCCCGTCCCACTAATGTAAGATCTTTGATCAGTTTCCAACGTTGCTTTACTTAACCCACTATAGCGGGAATCCTGAATAATTTTGAAAAAAAAAGCCCCAATCGAAACCCGAAAGTATTACCAAAGCTCCGCCCACCTTCCGAATAGTGATGTTTCCCCATCTTCGCATCCGTTGTGCTGCTTCAGGAGAATAGAGCCGCATCTCGTCCAAGTCATTATATAGCGATCGTTGAAGCCATTCCAGTACAAGCTCACGGCTTGCTTCCTCTGTCTTTTGCACTCGCAACATGGACAGCAAGTTTCGATTTGTCACATGCTGAAAGGAAGAATGCCGAATGGAACCACTAACGTCACTTAATTTCAAAATAAATAAAACTTCCTGAATCAGACTAAGCAATGACAAGCTCACCAAGTAATGAATAAGATGTTTATATGACCGGATATGGTTATTGATCAAGGTTTGCATTCCACGAGCAAACCACTGCGCACACAGAATGCAGACGACCTCTTCATTTTCAAGATCATCAACGACGAATTCTAATCCCACGTCACCTTGCGTTTGTACATAAAACAGCGTCTCCTTGCCTTCCTGAAATTGCTACGTATGGAGATTGTTTTTCACAAGCGACGGATTTATAATTATATGCTGTTTTGCCGTATAAATTTGTTCAATTAGTAGAGCTCAATTTTAGTGACGTATCGAACAAAAAGTCGCCACCACATAGGAAAAAATACTGGAATTTTCGACTTATAGCTGACACGAACGGCCAGGCAGCAGCGCCCGAACATCCCAACATGAATTATTTCGGCTACGTAACCAACCGCAGTTTCAATTGCCTAACGTTCTACTCGAGTGAAGTGAGCAGCCTGTACAACGAGTTATCATTCGCAGCCGCGAAAATGAACAATCTGATGCAATCTTATTTCTTTTTCACAACCATCATGATGTCCCATTTGTCCATTTGCTGCTCAGTCATTTAAGCGGGAACATTAACGAGAGAGACCCCAGAAGGTAGGTTACTTCACTGGATTACTTCACTGTTGCTTGCTTGACCAGTAAAGCGGCAGATCGGAAGATCCGAACTACTCGAAGGTCTTGGACGACGATTTTTTCGAAGCGTCAATTGATAAGCGGTTCGGTCACAAATAAAACGTGTGACAAAATGGTATGACCATTTGCAACGATACCAGATTCCATACAAATCGAACGTAGAACCTGTGACGGTAACGGCATAAGAATAACTCTCACCTTTATTTCTGTCCATTTTCCATGCAGCTCTGACGGAGCTTTTTGTATACTTGACGACATCGGTATAAAGAACTTCTCATCTGAACAAACTAATTACCCAACCCAGTTAGTAACTATCACTAGTTATATGCTTTAAGTAGAGAGAAAGCAGTGATGCCAGCTTCAAAAGCAACTCTCAATAGTAAAACTCATAGAGGAGCTTGCTAATAAGTTATGCACTCATTGGGGATTGCTTTGTAAGAGGAATACATGTACGAAACAACGCTTCATCTACCGGGCCACCTATTAAGAGGGTCAACCTTTAGCCACGTACGCCTGATACTAAAAATCAATCTCTTATTTCGCGGATTGAATTTCACTTTCATTCTACTCCAGTTAACCAGTGGGGAAATCCTCTTTTCACACCTTCGAAGCTAAGCTATCTAGTGAATTGGAAACGTTTACTTTCACTCGAGCGTTAGTTAGATGCTTCTTTCATTGTATCCTGGTCATCAAGAACTGAACCAAAAGCGTGTTAAATCGCAGGACTGCTGAAGCATATGGCTAGTTGTAAGAATCTTTGGAAATCCGAAAACTGTCCTCACTACGAAATACAAAAATACCGAATAATGCAAAATAAAATAAATAATGGACGTACCAAAGCCGAAACATGCCCTTTTTATGGCAAATTCGAAATGAGATTGTTCAGCACAATGCGTGCTCCATAAAGCTTTACCGCCATCATAGACATGCTTTGGAACGCTAACAACTCGCCAGCATATCTAAATAAAGAACGCATAGTGACAGAGCTACTGTTGCAACAACCAATCTGCCCAGGTACACTCACAGGGCAGAATAAGCATTGACAGTCTATCCCAAGTGGTGAAAGCTCGGGCATCAAGCTCGGAAACGACGGAACTTCAGGTTTCATCATCATCTACAAAACAGCCTTTATGTCTTGAGATGTCAAAAATCGATGGAACATGGAATCTCGACTTGCTCACCTCCATAGAAGGAGGAAACCAATCCACGTTAACTTTCTTATGAAGACCCCCACCAAACCGAAACTTGGGGCTAGCAGTTAGCCCCAACACGGCTGTTCTTCGTGAATCTGGTGCGTATTGTGATATGCGGAACATTTCCGTTGGGAAAGTTATAGTCTGGAGTCGTGGTGAAAATTAACTTCACAATATGAACAATCAACGTCGCTGAACAACTGACGTACCAGGAACTGCATGATGTGACTTTCACAAGTGAAATGGTCTTCCACTGACTTAACTGCACACCCACACAGTTCACAAAAGCTCCCTTTATCTGAAACGGACGATCAAATTCTAGTAACAAAGTAATACTACAAAAAATAACTTACTGAATACTATTAGATACTCAATTCCACACATTGGCCCATGGTACACGTCATCCACAATTTTCCACTTAAATGGTCGTGTTGGTTTCACTTCATCATAGCCGGATTCAAAGGTAACATCAACTATAAATTAGAGTTACAGTAGATGGAATAATAAGAACTTTTATTCAAACACTTCCTCATTCCAAAAAATCCTTTCTACTGAAAGCAGTTCCCGCGAGACTTCCATAGGATTCGAGAATGACGGAAAAATGCGAAAAAAACTAACACTGCTCTAAAACCATCATAATAGCAACAGCTTGACGATGACTCGGCGAGAGCTCATGTACTTTCCATATTCGGTCAAGCAGATCACTATCACATGCAATTAGTTGGTGACATGTCTGAATTTAAAAATGAAGACTGAAACTAGTTATTCTTATTCTAAAATCAAATACTTCATGACTCATCACGAAAAATACTTAGAAGCTTACTGAACATTGTAGAATTTTCCGGGCCTGCTTCGATTGCGAAGTACAATCCGTATGCACTATGTAAGACGGTTTGCAGCGATTGGGATCTATAGCAAGTTTTGCCATAGCATCTGTTTTCGTAATGCTTGCGTCCATTACTATGCACTCCGGTGGTGTACATTCTCCTTCTTGAATGCGGCTTCTTATTATTCATGAATGGACAACCTCTATGAGCCTTTACTCATTGACTTAACGAAAATATAAACCTTCTTCTTCAAGTACTTCCTTGCAAACACGTTTCACATGTTCGTAAACCTTCAACGGATCGCCATTAATATTCAAATTCAACATTTTGTGAGAGTGGAATTCATCCTAAAAAAAGAAATTAACGTTGAATACAAAAACAGTAAGAAAGGAAAGCCACGGCTTACTAGATATGTGGTAATGTGATTCATTGAAGACAGATGCATGTCTGCTTGTTCCAGGAGTGCCCCAGATTCGTAACAGATCGAGCACGCCCACCATGGCTCAGATGCAAAGGAGAAGTGAAGTTCGTGTAAACACTCCAGACCTTCAGATATCCGATTATTGAAAGGCATTTTTCGAAGTAAAGCGTTTTATATTTCGAATGGAAGTGCGCTAGTTAGTGACAGACACCAAAGAGCCCCGCTTCTAGAGGAGGTTGTCGGGCAAATACAGTACGGAGCACGCCCGAGCCAGCAAGACTTTAATTCGTAATCTTTAAGACTCGCCAGAAGTACTTTTACACCTCCAACAAGTTAGAATCGACAGCAAAGAAATCGGCCGAACAAATAGAAACACACGATAGCAATAAAACACCTACCAACGTATTGTTCTCCACAAGCGGTATATCGCTTAACAAGAACAGATGATCCACTAAATGGTTGAAACTTAGGCACTTCCGTAGCGAAAAACTCGTAAATTACAAGCTTCTAAAAATAGCAATTTTCAGTAGAAAGTAGAAAGCAACTAGCTGCTAAACATTCTCAATTAATCGCATACTTTCTTGTGTTTCATTTGTTGTTCATGTTTGTCCTTTTCCTCACGCGTTTTGCAGAAATCTTGGCAAATCTGTAAAGTGATTGCTATGTGATGCCGAAGGTCGAGGAAAACTGTAGCTGAACGTAAAAAAAAACTTCTCAAATTCTGTGAAAAAAATTTACGAGTAGCTAATCTAAGCCAACGACAGGATTTCAAGCAAACGTATATTTTACAACCAATAACCTTCACAGTGAGAATTGGATGACAACAGCAAGTAACCAATGATTGGCTGTTAATGGTCAAAGGTTTTTGGTGTTCTTGTACACTCACCATACACGTGTTATTGGAGCGCCACACATCTTGTCTTCGTGCTTTAGTTGGCTCATTTGCATCGCGAGCAGTCATAATTGAGCCGTGGAAAGCATCCGAACAATTTTGGAACACCCTTCTGAAAAACTTCATTTAAAATTCGATCATAACAGAGTTTCAATTCTGAAACACGGTAATTCAGAACAATGGCAATGCAATGAACTTCCACAGTTTCTATCATCTGAATAACAGCCACTTGAAGGCACTTTTAGCAATAAATTTTAAAAAAATAAGACGGAGGACGACCATGGATAACTCTCCGGCCCCTTATTGTGCCCTATCCAGCCGTTTTCCGACCTCATTCCTGCACAAATGGTATCAGAGGGGGCNTCAATTCAAACCATGCGCAAATCTCCGAAACTATTTTTCGTGAACAGTGCCTTTAAGCAAATTTCAAGATTGGAGCGTACCCATCCTCTACGAAATCCGTCGATAAATTGAAAATGACTTGAAGAAGTTCAAAAGCAACCGCAACTTCTAATTACAATAGGTTTCATTTCTAGAAAATTACACGGTATCCGACCAGAAACTAAACGTCCTTCTGATCACTATATAATCTCATAACAGGTGTTCTAGAAGGAGGGCAAAGGATTCAACTCAATCAACCAACATTGGCTTCTGTCATTTTCACGCATTGCCTCCTCTTTCCTCTTCATTCCATCAGCAATACATTCACAACAACAATGGAAAATTTTTCATTTGTTTTTTCCAAAGAATTTGGCGACGGGCCCATAGAAAACAGAAACGAATGTTGGCCAAATTTGACAGTGCTTGTGGGAAGATCTGATTGAGACTGAACTTAACGAAGATGATGCTTGGGAAACGGATTGGTACGTGCATCTAGGTCGGGAATTCGACATAATGAGCAACCTAGTCCGGAGCTGAGCAGAAGGAGACGCGCGGCGTGGAGAGCATTCAAGATCATCGGGGAGAAGTGAATGAGACATTCGGCTCTCTCTTTTTCGACACTGCTTATTCTTGCTTTGATGTACGCCAGGAGACTTGGACTCTAGAAAAGCAGGACAAAAAATCGGAGGCCAGGTGGGGCACGGTTAACGATATCGTAATGACCATTGGAACAGTCGATATTCCTCAAGGGATTTTTTTGAAGTTTCCATGGATTATATGGAAGCTCATCCTTTTCTTTCAAGTATTGATGATGTATGCAAAAAACTTTTAGAAAGGGCTTCAAGACCAAAGGCTTGACACAACTTTTAATGGGTTTTGGTAGCAGAATGGTCTGATTCGAACAAGTAAAGAAGTATTTGCTGAACATGGACAGACAGTCCAGTCATAGGGGCTGTGAGGCTACAGGATCACGGCACAAGAAAGGAAATGAAGTTTGAAGCGGAACGGAGACACCACGTGAAGATCTAAAAAAGAGATTGAGGGACGGGATCAAAAAGCACCCTCCTATAACCAAGGTAACGGAAGAAAATGTCGTAGGCCACAACTCACGAGAACAGCGAACCTGGGACTCAGCAGCATCAATGCTAGGAAGAAGAGGAAGAAGTCCAGCCATCATATGGTTGAGTAGGCAGAATTAGGTGACCAGATATGTTATGCGTATTCGAGTAGTGTCCCTACATGGAGACCTAATGAAGCTTCCAGAAAATCGCGACAAAATTCTCGGCTGTGGGAAAATTTCAACAGATACTTTTCCACAACCATCTTTCGTGGCAGGCAAGCAGAATCAGTTACAGCAATCAGTTTAAACTGAGAATTACTTATATTCAATCAGAGTACAAATGATTGATAACTTTCCTGTACCCATACTACCCTAGAGAGGTTTTCCGCTTCTTTTTTTACTGGTGCCACATACTTCACCTTGTTACCTAAACGAACCTAATAACTTAACTGCACAAGAAATGAAAATTTTCTTCAGCCAACTATTTCTAGAGACTAAAAACCCACTATGCTGGGAACCGGCCCGCCAAGTTCATCGGTTACCCTTCGGGGGTGAGTCAGGCATGATTCGAACCTTGTTCCGCCGAATGTAAACAAACTTGCTCATCGTGCTGATATGCACTCACTTACTCTCTGTTATGGTGAGCGTTGTACTGTTAAAAATCCATTCAAAGTATTTCCACTGAGGTCAGATTAGGAACGAACAGACTCCTTTTCCCACCTTATTATGGGTTTGCAGGAGTGTAAACGCGTTTTAGGCCCTTTTTGTTATCGTGTTATCTACATATGCATCGAATAAAAAGGTCAAAGTAATTAATATGAACTTCGCATAAATCCACGACGAATCAAGGAAAAACGATGGGAAGGAAACTCAGCATGCCATTAATGTTGAGGGTCCAGC